TCTCGGCCCCCACCATCTACTCTCTGTCTCCATGAATTTGACTCCTCCAGGTGCCTCATAGAAGTGGACTCATACAACATTTGTCTTTTTGAGACTGGCTTATTTCATTTATAATGTCCTCAAGTTTTATCCATGTTGTAGCAGATACCAGAGTTTCCTTCCTTTTAAAGGATAAATAATATTTTGTTGTATGTATATAGTACATTTTGCTTATTCATTCATCTGTCAATGGACATTTGGGTTGCTTCCACATTCTAGCTATTGTGAATAATGCTGCTATAAGCATGGGTGTGCTAATATCTCTTTGAGATTCTGCTCTCAATTCTTTCGGGTATGTACCCAGAAATGGGATTTCTGGGTTATATGGTAATGCTATTTTTAATTTTTTGAGGAACTTCTGTACTATTTTTTTTAAAAGATTTTATTTATTTATTTGACAGAGAGACACAGCGAGAGAGGGAACACGAGCAGGGGGAGTGGGGGAGGGAGAAGCAGGCTTCCCGCGGAGCAGGGAGCCCAATGTGGGGCTCGATCCCAGGACCCCGGGGCCATGACCCGAGCCGAAGGCAGACGCCCAACGACTGAGCCACCCAGGCGCCCCGGAACTTCCGTACTATTTTCCACAGCAGCTGCACCTGCACCATTTACATCCCCACCAATAGCGCACAAGGGTTCCAATTTCTCTACATCCTCACCAACATTTGTTATTTTCTGTGCTTTTAAAAACTAATATCTATTTAATGGATGTGAGGTAGTATTTCACTATAGTTTTGATTTTCACTTTCCTAATGATTAGTGGTATTGAGCATCTTTTCATGTGCTTGTTGGACATCTGTATGTCTTCTTTGGAGAAGTGTCTGTTCACATCTTTTGCCCATTTTTGAATCAAGTTCGTTTGTTACTGTTGAGTTTTGGGAGCTCCCTGTATATTCTGGATGTTAGCCCCCTATCAGATACATAAATTCCAAACAGTTTCTCTCGTTTTATTGGTTGCCGTTTTACTCTGTTGATTGTATCTTTTGATGCACATATTTAAAAACTTTTCATGAAGTCCAATTTGTCCATTTGTCTCTCTTGTTGCCTGTGCTTTGGTCTCATATCCAAGAAATCATTGAGAAATTCAATGTCTTGAAGATTTTGCCCTATGTTTTCTTCAAGATTTTCACAGTTTTTGGTCTTACATTTAGGTCTTTGACCCATTTTGAGTTAATTTTTGCACATGGTTTTAGGTAAGAACCCAAATTCATTCTTTTGGTTATGGATATCCAGTTTTCCCACTACCATTTGTTAAAGAGACTGTCCCTTCCCCCATTGAATAGTATTGGCATCCTTGTCAGAAATCATTTGACTATATATGTGAGGGTTTATTTCTGGGATTTCTAGTCTATTTCATTGCTCTTGTGTCTGTCTTCATGTCAGTACACTGTTTTGATTACTGTAGCTTTGTAGTAAGTTTTGAAATCAAGAAGTGTGTGTTGTCTAACTTTGTTCTTCTTTTTCAAGATTGTTTTGGCTATTTGGGGTCCCTTGAGAGTCTATTTGAATTTAAGAATGGGTTTTTCTATTTCTGTGAAAAACATCATTGGGATTTTGAATAGGGATTGTATTGAATTTGTAGGTATTTTGAGTACTATTAAGATCTTAAACAATATTAAATCTTTTAATCCATGAACATGGATGTGTTTCCACTTATTTATGTCTTCTTTAATTTCTTTCAGCAATTTTTTTTGTAGTTTTTGTTGTACCCTTCACCTCCTTGGTTAATTCCTAAGTATTTCATTATTTTTGATGTGATTGTAAGTGGAATTGCTTTCATAATTTCCTTTTCAGATTGTTCCTTGCTAGTGTATAGATATGCAACTGATTTTTGTTTGTTGACTTTGTATCTTGCTACTTTGTATTTCACTTATTAGATGTAACATGGTTTTTTGGTGGAATCTTTAGGATTCTCTGCATATACAATCATATCATCTGCAAACAGATAATTTTACTTCTCCTTTTCTAGTTTATTTCCTTTCCTTGTCTGACTGCTCTCGCTAGCATTTCTATTACTCTGTTGAATGTTGAAGGTAGGCATTCTTGTCTTATTCTTTTTTTTTTTTCTTAAGTAGGCCCTACATCCTATGTGGAGCCCAGCACAGGACTTGAATTCACAGCCCTGAGATCAAGACCTGAGCTGAGATCAAGAATTGGATGCATTACTGATTGAGCCAACCTGGCACCCCTTGTCTTATTCTTAATCTTAAAGGAAAAACTTCCAGTCTTTTACCATTGAGGATGGCATTTGCTGTAGGTTTTCATATATGGCCTTTATTATGTTGATGTAGTTTCCTTTTATTCCTAGTTTGTTGAGTGTTTCTATCAGGAAAGGGTGTTAAATTTTGTCAAGTGTCTTTTCTGCATCAATTGAGATGGTCATGTGGGTTTTTTCCCCTTCATCTGGTAATCTGATATATTACATTAATTGGTTTTCAGATGTCGAACCTTCCCTGCATTCCTGGAATAAATCCCACCTGGTCATGGAGTGCAATCCCTTAACATGCTGCTGAGTCTGGTTTGCTAGCATTTGTTGAGGATTTTTGCATCAATGTTCATAAGGGACATTGGTGTGTAGGTTTCTTTTCTTGCAGTGTCTTTGTCTGGCTTTGGTATCGGGGTAATCCTGGCCTCATAGAATGAGTTAGGAAGTGTTTCCTCATATTCCATTTTTTGGAAGTTTGAGAAGGACTCATATGGTTCTTCTCAAATTGTTTGATAGAATTCACCATGGAGCTGTCAGGTCCTGGACTTTTCTTTTTTGGGAGATTTTTGATTACTTTAATTACTGATTCAATCCCTTCAGTAGTTATAAATTCATTTATATTTTCTGTTTCTTCACAATTTAGTCTTGGTAGGTTTTGTGTTTCTTGGGAATTTGTCCATTTCATCTAGGTTATCCAATTCATTGGTGTACATCTGTTCATAGTTCTCTCTTATAATCTTTTTTATTTTTGTAAAATTAGTAATAATGTCACCAATATTATTTTTTATTTTGATAACTTGAGTATTCTCTCTTTTCTAAGTCCATTGAGCTAAAGGTTTGTCAATTTTGTTGATCTTTTCAAAGAACCAACTTTTAGTTTAATTTATTTTCTCTATTTTGATTAATTCTGTTCTAATCTTTATTGATTACTTTGTTCTACTAGCTTTGGGTCTAGTTTATTCTTTTTCTAGTTTCTTAAGTTGCAAAGTTAGGTTGTTGATTTGAGATTTTTCTTGTTTTTTATTTTTTAATTTAATTTAATTTTTTAAAAGATTTTATTTATTTATTTGATAGAGAGAGAGAGAACAAGTAGGCAGAGAGGCAGGCAGAGGGAGAGGGAGAAGCAGGCTCCCTGCTAAGCAGGGAGCCTGATGCAGGGCTCGATCCCAGGACCCTGGGATCATGACCTGAGCCGAAGGCAGACGCTTAACGACTGAGCCACACAGGCGCCCCATGAGATTTTTCTTGTTTTTTAATGTAAGCCTTTATAGCTATAAGTTTCCCCTTTAGCAAAACTAGCAATCCCATATGTTTTAGTATGTTGTGTTTTCATTTTCATTTGTCTCTAAGTATTTTCTAATTTCCCTTGTGATTTCTTCTTTGATCCATTGGTTATTTAAGAATGTGTTAATTTTGTGAGGGTGCCTGGGTGTCTCAGTCTGTTGAGCATCAGAGTCTTGATTTCAGCTCAAGTCTTGATCTCAGGATCAAGAGTTCAAGCCCAGCTTTGGGCTCTACCTGGGGAGCCTACTAAAAAATTTTTTTAAAGAAGAATGTGTTAATGTCCACAAACTTGTTTCTCCACTTGATTAGATCTTTTAACATGTATGTCAATGATGTTTTGTAATTTTCAGTATTCAAATCTTGCATTTCTTTTGTTAAATATATTCCTATATGTTTTATTCTTTTTGATACTATTATAAATGGAATTGTTTTCTTAATTTTATTTTAGGATTTTTTGTTGGCAGAATATAAAAATAATTGATTTTTAAAAGATTTTATTTATTTATGTTAGAGAGAGAGCGGCAGGGAGGGGCAGAGAGAGAGAGAAACCCAAGGAGACTCCACACTGAGTGCAGAACCAACACGGGGCTTGATCTCACAACTCTGAAACCAAGAGTCAGATGTTCAACTGACTGTGCTACCCAGGCGCCCCTGTAATTCATTTTTTTATATTGATCTTGTAACTGTGACTTTGCTGAACCCATTTATTAGTTCTAGTACTTTGTACTGTGTGTGTGTTCCTTAGGATTTTCTACATATAGGACATGTCATCTATGAATAAAAACAATTTTATTTCTTCATGTCCAATTTAAGTTACAGGAACTCAAATTTGCTTTAACATTCAAAAGTTGATCAGTGGGATATTAGTCATCCTTAAAAAGGAAGTTCATCAATGGATGAACCTTGAGGACATTATAAATGAAAAATACAAATATTGTGTGATTTCACTTATATGAGGTACTTAGAGTGGTCAAAATCGCAGAGACAAAAGGTAGATGATGGTTGCCAGGTCTGGGGGAGGGGATGGGGAGTGAGTGTTTAATGGGGACAGAATTTCAGTCTGGGAAGATGAAAAAGTCCTGGGGGCAGACGGGGGTGATAGTTGCACAATATAAATATTCTTAATACTACTGAACCGTACACTTAAAATGGTTAAGGTGGCAAATTTTATGTTATATGTACTTTGCCACAATAAAAAAATTGGAAGAATGTCAATTGGTAGATTTTACCCCATTTACAGAATAAAGAAGAAAACTATATGATCATCTCAATAGATGTAAAACATTGATGAAGTTCCATACTGTGCATGTTATGTTTTTGCTTTTTGTTTTTTGTTTTTTTAATGAACTAGAAAAAGAAACTTCCTTAATTGGAAAAGCTTAGGTACAAAAATTCTAAAGCTAACATACTTCTTAATGGTATGTACTGAAATTGTTCTCCTTGAAATCAGAATGAGACAAAAATGCCCGCTATCATGACTGCTATTCAGTATGGACTGAATGGTCTGTTGAGTTTAATAGTACAGAAAAAAAGAAATAAAAGGCATAAGATCAGAAAGAAGCAAAACTATTTACTGAAAACCTGATTATGCACATAGAAAATTTAAAAAATCATACAGAAAGTTACGTGAGTTTAGTGAGGTCAGTAGGCACCAGGTCAGTATACAAAACTCCGCTGTGTTCCTATACACTAACAAAAATCATAGAATGGAATTCTGAAAATGCAATCTATAATAATATCAAATAACAACAAATATCCAGAGAAAAATAACAATATAAACTGAAGACCCTAAACAGAACATTATAAAATAAAATAGAAATAGTGACCTAATAAGTATATGTGTGTATAATAAAACCATGTTCATAAATTAGAAAACTCAGTGGTATATATTTTTTTCTTCCCAAACTAATCTATAGATTCAATGTAATCCCAATCAAAATCTATGCAGGAATTTTTCTTGGGGGCTTGAGTGGGAGGAATTGACAAACTGATTCTGAAATTTATTTGGAAATACAAATGATTTCAGAAAAGCCAAGACAACCTTGATCAAGAAAAACAAAATTAGAGAATTTCTACCCATATTTCAAGACTTACTACAAATGTACCTAATCCAGACAGGGTGGCATTGGGTTACTGGGCATTATCAGACCAGCGCCACGGAACAGCATCTAGATGCAGATCCTCATGCACATGGTCACTTAGGACCAACCCTTAGGAAGGGTTAGTCCTTGCACTAAATGGTGCTTGAGCAGTGAGCATCCTTGTGAACAAAAAAGGTCTATCTTAAATCCTGTCTCCTAAATACATAAAGATTAATTTGAGGTGTATCATGTGATATGTGAAAGTTACAGAAAAGGCAAACATTGGAGTATATCTTTGTGACCACAAGGAAGGCAAAGATTTTTTAAATAGTTCACTAAGCACTAACCATGATAGAGCAAGTCGATAAATTGTACTTTATTGACATGAAAAACTCTGTTTATGAAGAAACACTACACAGAGAATGTAAAGACAAGCCACAGAGTGGAGGGACACACTTATAACACGCGTATCCCACAGAGGTCTCACGGCATCTCACGGGCTCTCTGGATCTCGCTTTGTAGTGGTGAGGCGTTCATCTCCGATTCGAGAAATCACTTTTCGCAGTGCCAGGCTCTGCTGAATAAAATCACGTCTGTGAACCCTCAGACGGAGATCGACGGGCTTCGGAACATCTGGATCATAAAGCCGGGGGCCAAGTCCCGCGGCCGAGGTGAGTCGGAGGCTGGGCGCTGAGAGACGGCCACCTGCGGCCCCCAGAGCGCAGCGCGCGCGCCCGGTCACACACTGAGGTGTCTGTGGGGCATCACACAGACTCGGGGCTCTCTGCGGGGCAGGTGGCCCCGAGACATTGGTCTTCATGGCCCGCTTCCGAGGTTTGCTAATGAACTGGGATGTTCCCAAGTTAAACTGGGCTGGACTTTTCTTTTTATATTACCTCGCCCAGTCTTGGCAACAGGCTTACCCTAGCTGCTAAGATGGATCGAGGACTTCCATCTCAGGCAACAGCGGAATTCCCGTTCCTTACTCACCTGTAAGCACTGGCTCTCCTGGAGGCCCCTCCTTAAGGCCTGTACCTTTTGTCTGTGGTTTTTGTCTGGTGGGCTCAGCCTTTGTACCTCATCTTGTGTTGTAGCTAGGACTGCGTCCTCTTTATTCTTAATGGTGAAAACTGTGTGTTCTTTTTAAAACAGGGATTTCAAGGTTTTTAAAATCTTATTTGTGTTTCCAAAGAACCAACCTTAGGTTGCATTTTTCCAATTTCCTGTGAAGGATATTATCCCCCTTGGCTCTGACTTTAAGGCTAAGCTTATTTATTTCCAGTCTTTCTTGTACAACAACAAAAGCCTTAAGTCTATGAGATCTCCTCCCGAGACAGCCCTCACTGCAACATCCGTCTTTGTGTTACATGATGTTCTCACTTTCCTGAGTATCTAAATAGACCTTAATTTTTTTTTTTTTTTGGATATTTTATTTTCCCCTTGAGTTATTTGAAGAGCTTTGTTGGTGTTTTAAATTCGTAAGTGGTTCATTTTTACGTGATTTTAAAAAATGTTTATTAATTTGAGATGTTACTGCATCTGGCCTCCCCAGCCGTCCTCTGAGAGCCCGCCCTCCGGGGTCGGGCCAGGGCTCCCCCACAGGCTCCATCCTGAGCCTGCTCCTCTTATTTTTTTTTTTTTTTTAAAGATTTTATTTATTCGACAGAGAGACACAGTGAGCGAGGGAACACAAGCAGAGGGAGTGGGAGAGGGAGAAGCAGGCTTCCTGCTGAGCGGGGCTCGATCCCAGGACCCTGGGATCGTGACCTGAGCCGAAGGCAGACGCTTAATGACTGAGCCACCCAGGCGCCCCCTGAGCCTGCTCCTCTTGATAGTAGTACCCGTCTGCAGGCAGCTCCCTCCTCCTGCCCATCAGGCCCGGCCTCCCTCCCACTGCAGACACCTGCGTCCCCAGGGATGCCCCACAGACACCTCAGACCCAGCTGTTCAAAGCCAAATGCAGGGCTTTCTGGCTGGGCACTGCGTGGGCCCCTTGCTGCTCTGAGCCCAGGATAACTTCAGAGGTTTGTTGCTTTGCCCTAGTCTTTCATTTCCTGATGGCAAGGTCTCAGCTTACAGTTGAAGAGACTACACCTACATTTTTGTGGGGAAAGCTCACCTCATGTGTTGCTACACCTTGTGCCTCGGGGCCTCTGCACATGGTGCTCCCCTCCAGCAATGTGTCAGTCCGGATAGGCCAGATTGTGCTGGGTAACAAGCAGTCCCCAAACCTCAGTGGCTGTCAGTGAGACCAGTTCATCTCTACTCATGCTCGTCCATTATGGGTTGGCATGAGAAGGTAGTTGGGGGGAGTTCTGCTCACCGAAGTCCTCCCACCATCTTGTGACATCAGTCCCTCCAGGCTTCAGGATTGTCATGGCAGAGAAAGAGAGGGCTGGAGGGTCTGGTGGTGACCCAACAGACAAGAGGGATGCATGTCCCCTCTACTCAGAGGTCACTGGTCACCGTTAGTCACATGGCCTAACTCTGGGGGGTTGAGGATGAGAAGTTGCAAACCCTCTTGCAAAGTGGAGGAGGACCAGAATGGGTGTGCAGTCCCACCATTCGTCCAGGCACTCTTGGGAGTGAGGCCTCACCAGACCCCAGGCCCCTGGACACCTGCCAGCCCTGTCTGCTGGTTCCCTGAGGCCCACAGAGCTTCCCTGCCCCCTGTCCACCGCACACCCAGGGCTCGTGCTCAGCCACCCCTCGCTGGCTGCCTTTAAACATACGTCTGTCCCCATCCCTGCCCCTCTCCATGCTGTGTCCTCTCTTGAATCCTGGGGGCTTGCCCCCTGGTGGGAGAGCCTGGGGGCCTGGCACCGGTGTGGCCTTCCCTGCTGGGCCACTCAGCTGTGCTGCCTCCCAGGCCTGGGTCAAAGCCATGTTGGGTCTCAGAGCTGACGCTCGACCCTGCGTGCCATGCCCTGGGGCTCAGCGGTGACTTCTTGCAGACATCATGTGCATGAACCGAGTGGAGGAGATCCTGGAGCTGGTCGCTGCAGACGACCTCTCTGCCAAGGACAACAAGTGGGTGGTGCAGAAATACATCGAGACCCCACTGCTCATCTATGACACCAAGTTCGACATCAGGCAGTGGTTCCTGGTCACTGACTGGAACCCCCTGACCATCTGGTTCTACAAGGAGAGCTACCTGCGGTTTTCCACGCAGCGCTTCTCCCTGGAGAATCTGGACAGGTCGGTTGGAGCGTCAGCTTGGTGCCACTGGGTGTGAGGGGGCACAGTGTGTGCCCGCGACACCTGTGGGAAAGGGGTGGGGTGCCAGGCCATGTCTGCTGTCCCCCATCACCACCGGGGGCACAAATGAGGAGGGAGGCTCAGGTAGGTTAAATGAGCTCCATCCCCAAGGGGCAGGCCCAGGCCTGCTGCTCTTCAGAGCCCATGCTCTGCACCCCATAATGTGTGAATCTTCTCCAGAAGATCCTCAAAGCTCCATGTGCCACGTGCCCACAAGGTGCAGGCACGGCCCGGGGATGACACATCGCAGCGACAGGTCCAGAGCCCCCCCGTGTGCATGCTGTCCCCTCTGCTGGAAGGGCTGAGTGGCGGCCCTGCTCACACACTAACCCACAGCTGGCCAAGCTTGGGGTGCATACTTTGCCTGCTGCGCTGTCCTGCTCTCTCTGGGTCCAGCCAGCACACAGGCCCGGACGCCTTTGGAGGCTCCCGGGGGACATCTGCCTTGCCAGCCCCTCAAGCCCCCTCCCTAGTCCCTGCAGGGCCTTCTCTTTATGAGCCCCAGAAGTCCTGGGGTGGGGGTCCTGCAGACGGCTGGGGAGGTAGGGGTGTTCAGCCCCTGACGAGGCAGCCTGTGGGGTGTGAGAATGGCCTGAGGGGTCCTCTGAGGATCCCAGCTGTGCCGGGCAAGACCAGAAGAGGGGAGCACCTGAGCCAGAAAAGGCCACGACTGTGTGGGCCACACCCCAGATCCCAAGGCCCCTGGGGGGCAGGGTGCTGGGGAGGGTTCCACATGCAGAGGCTCGGACAGCCCGGAAGGGGTGCCAGGGGTGGGGGAACCCACACCTCGCCAGGGTCTCCGGGTGGGCAGGACGTGTGTGTGGCAGGGATGGTGAGGCCCCTCTGCAAAGCCTCAGGAGTGAGGCAGAGAAGTCCCCTTGCCTCTGTCCAAACCAGGGGCTTCCCTGTTCTGCCTTGTGACCCCCTCGCTGTGTGGGGCTGGGTGCCTAGGCATCTCCACCAGGAGCTTTACAGGGGAGTCACACAGAATTGAAAGGGCACGTGGGCATGGGGCCTACTAAAGAAAGGGAGGGGTGCCTGGGGGGCTCAGTTGGTTAAGCATCCGACTCTCCATCTCGGCTCAGAATTGAGAGGGCTGGGAGCTGTTTGGCTGACACCTCGGGCATGTTAACTGTGTCCCCAGGCTAGGGGTCGTGGCCACACCAAGAGTCGCACCTGGCAGGTGACGCTTGGAGTCACACTTGTCAGGAGCAGGCTGCTGGGGAGAAGTTGTTCTGGCCGGCAGCTCCTGGAGCGAGTTCGTCTCTGCCAGGCCAGGGGGTCCTGGAAGAGGGGTCCTGCAGCTCACTGTGCACAAGGAGCCCCTTCCAGCCCCCCCATCCCAGGCCACCGGACCCACCAAGCCATGACGGGATGCCTGGCAGATCTCTTGCCCTCTCTGAGCCCCATTTCTCCATCTGGGACCATAACTCTCACCCCAGATGAACAGGAGATTCCCTGAAATCATTTCTGATTGGGCATGGCCCAGCCTCCGATATACTGGCCACAATGGGTCTGCTGTGGGTCCACTACCCTAATTCCGTGGATCTCAGGTCGCAAGGCCCTCTGTCCTCTGGAAGTACGACCTCTCCAGGGTCACAGGGACGGGTCTTACTACCCAGAGCCACATGGCGCAACTAGTCCAGTTACCTGTTTCAAAACCTGTTTGGAACAAGGCAAGAGTGTAAATTAATTAATTAGTTTCACAGAGACTCTCACTCTGTCTCACCAGACCAGCTCTTCAAGAGCCACATCCCTATTGCCAGGTGCAGATGGGGAAACTGAGGCTCTGGGAGGTGTTAAAGTCCGGAGGACTCGGAGCTATCAGAGCCCCCACGGCAGCCGCCCGCCCTACGGCGGGGTGGGGGGGGCGGGGTCGAGAGAGAAGAGTGTCGGGGGCGGGGTTAGCGGTGGCCTGGGGGTTCCGTGGGGGCAGAGGGTCGGCGGGTGTGGGGTCTCGGGGGAGGTGTCTGCACGGACATCGGGATAGGTGGGAGCCACAAGGGTTCTGGAGACTGGGTCACGGGATCCAGGGTCGCGGTCCGGGAGTGGGGTCGCGGGCCCCAGCGTGGAGACGGGGTCGCGGGGGGTGGAGGTCGGGGGT